CACACACACAAAAAGCTCCCCCTGCTGGCTCACTGTGCAAACTCTGTCTCAGAGTGCCAGCGGGCAACATCCCATTTCCAAATTTAAAACAACTGACATGCTCACTCAAAAAACTACCACCTTCGGGAAGAAAATGCCCCCCTTTTCCACCAGAGGCCTCCTGTGCCTGTGATGGGCCTGTCTGTCCTGTCTCCAAACCTCTGTAAGCCACCAATCAGTAGTCATTTGTGTTTTATGTGGTATGTAAATTCGTGGGATGTGCTCTCTCCTCTGTGTCCACCTGTGATGACTCCAAGGTCCCTCCCCCTGGCTGTGGAGGTGTGAACACTCACCGGTCTGTGTGTTCACAGTATTTCACTGCATGGGTGTACATATGTTTATCAAAGCCCAACAGCATAAACCCACAGAGTCAGAAGCTCAGAGAACTGCAAGCCAAAAAATGCCCAAAACACACACACCATCAGCACAGACAGCCAGTTTCCCTGAAGCCACTTACAGGAAGCATCACACAGGGAACTGAGGGAGAACACGGGCAGCTTGGCTCAAGCCATGAGAAGTTGGAGCAGAGTTGAAAGAGAAGTGTCAGCAGAGGACCCCGACAGAGGCCTTTGCAGACAAAGGTGGGGCTGCCTGTCCAGGCAGAGCTATGACTTGAATTCGGAGCCTGACAGGTGCCAGAGTCAGCGAGGCCACAGAGCTGCACAGTAACCAAGAAACCCTGTTTTAAAATCCAACACTTTAAAAAGATGAAAATGTGTACAGGGGGGAGGTAGATGGGGGAGGGTGGAGATGGGGCTGGAGGGGGTGGACCACAGTGGATGGTGGGGAGATGGTAGGGGTGGATGGAGGGAATGGATGGCGATTGGGAGTAGACAGTGGACAGGTGGACAGGTGGGTGCTGAGGTGCAGAGCAGAGTGACTGTAGATGCCTACAGCTGGGAACGTCCTCTTGTGACTGCAAGTTCTATGGTATGTACATTGTACCCCAGTCAACAAGAAACATAGCAAAGCCTTGCGAGCCTTTCGAAGTTCTCTGTTTCCTGATTGTTGAGGATGCCAGCTCTCGGCTTTCTGCTGTCTGATGTCATGCCTTCCCCACCAGCGCGGGCTCTGTCTGGATCCATAAACCCAAATAAACGCCTCTGTAAATGGCCTCAGTCATGGCGTTTTTATCACAGCAACAGAAGTAGCCCAACAGGAAAGAGTGAACAAAGACCAAAGGAGATGAGTGTCCTGGAGTTTCTATTGCTGTGACAAAACAAGACGGAAAGCAAGGGGGGAGGACAAGGTTTATCTCATTACAGCTTGTAGGCCATCATCCAGGAAAGTCAGGGCAGGTCTCAGGGCAGGAATCTAGAGACAGGAGCTGATGCAGGACTGCCTTGCTCCTCATGGCCTACTCAGCCTGCTATCTTATGCCATCCTGGACCACAGGCACAGGGGTAGCTCCACTTACAATTATCCTGGCCACACACATCATCATCAAGATGTACCACAGGCTTGGTGCACGGGCCAATCAGATGGGGGGCATTTTCTCAATTAAGATTCCACTTTCCCAAATGACTTCAGCTTGTGTCAGGTTGACACAATAAACTAGACAGCACTATTGGCCCTCTGTCAACTTGACACACAGACACATAACCATTCAACCAGAACCTTCTCTTTGTCAAATGTCCCCAAGATGGCCTATTAACATTACTATCACAGTATAAACTATTCCAACCTTTATAAGTCTCGTCTTTAATAATTCAAACACTTTAAACATGCTTTGAAACATCCAAAAGATCTTTAGAAGTTCAAAGTCTCTTAACTGTGGACTTCTGTAAAATAAAAAATAAGTTGCTTACTTTCTTACTCCAAGAGGGAAGCAATCAGATCAAAGCAAACCAGAATCCAGCGGTGTAAAGCTCAGTGACAGATGGGAGGACTCACATTTCTAGGCTCCAAAGGTCTTGCCACCATGTATACAACTTGTCTCAAAAGCCCAGGCCAGCTCCACTCCATAGCTGCTGTTTCGCGGTCCTAGCATCTCAAAATGCTTGAGTCCCCGATACAACCTGGCTTTACCTTCACCAGTAGCCTCTTCTGGTCTTGCTTCAGCGACTGGCCCTGCCACATGATGCCAAGCCTGGGCCTCCCTCCATGACCCTTTCAGTCCTGGGGTTTTCACTGTTCTGAAGCTGCACCTTCACCAGCGGCTTCCCCAGCCTCTCACGATGCCAAGCCCCAGCTGTCCTCCATGACTCCTTTTTGCCTTTGAAATCAGTACCACCTGGGAAATTCCTACACGTCACCCATATAAGGCAACCTCGGCCCCCTCTGGACCACAGCTTCTGTGTGCTAATCCTGAAGAAATACTCCCAGATTTAGAGTCCTCAGTGATTCTGGTCTCGTCTTAATCACAGCAGACCCGGCTGACTGGCATCAATTGTCCCAGTGAAGCAAAAGTTTCATTTTAGTAACAATAGCTTCTTGTTAATCATGGTCTGTTCTTCAGCCCTAGACAACCAGAACTTCAAAGTCTTGGTTTAAGAAAATCACATGATGAAGTCTTTGAAAAACAAACTTCCCTCTGAAGCCCTGGCAAGTCCGGCTTCTGTCATCTGCATTGCTCGAAACGTGCTTGTCTTCTAAGATCCCACAGACCATCCCACTGAGCTCTCAACATACAACAGCTTTGCCAGCCCAGAGTTCAGATGCCACCTACGTGCACCAAAGAGCCGCATGGTCAGGTCTGTCACAGCAATACCCATAAACCTGGCACCAGTTTCTTAGGATTTCTGTTGCTTACTTACTGGCTTGTTCAGCCTGCTTTCTTATAACACCCAGGACCACCAACCAAGCAATGGCCCTCCCATGGTGAGCTGGGTCCTCCCACATCAATTACCAGTCAAGAAAATGCACCACAGGCAAATCTCGGTGCAGGTTTTCTCGACTGAGGCTTCCTCATCCCCATGTGACTCTAGCTTGTGTCAAGTTGATATTAAACTAGCCAGCACAGTGACCAAGACCTGGAAGATCAATGTTACCGAAACGAACAGGCACAGCAGAGTAACCACATGCTAATAATCAAAATCAGGGTGGGGCAGAGGGAGGAATTAACAAGTTGGATTCATCTGTCCTGCTTATAAGACTTGGCTATGGTTTTATTTTAGCAGAACTAGGACTAGAATCTAACATTTCACACACACACTAAGCAAGCATTCTACCCTGAGCTTTATCTCCTGCCTTTAAAAGATTTTTTAAATGTGTACATTTATCTATTTATTTATAGAGGATGCAGTACATATGCATAGGTCAGAGAACTTGCGGGAGTTACTTCTCTCCTACCTTATGAGTCCAAAGAATGAATGCAGGTCATGCCGCTTGCAAGCACCTTTATCCAGACCCCTGCCCCCTTTTCCAACTTTACTTTGACTCAATGAGGAAAACATCCAACTTTGCAAACAAAGATCACGAGCAGTCACAGCACCAGGTAGGAACTACAGCTGAGTCTGGGGGTGGAGGGTTCCTCCTGTGCGTCCCAGCTCAGCTCTGGCTGGGGGGAGCACTGGTGCAAAAGGGACAGGGTTTCATGGCCTTGGTGCAGTCATGGCCTCTCCTGCTCTCTCCTGGGAGAGCTGCTTGCTGCCTGCTGCTCCAAGTCCCCTAAGGTCCAACTCATGGCTCTTCTCCCATCCCTCCCACTTGCCTCTGGCCCATCAGTCTCTGCACTCCTTACCCGAGACCCTGCCTTGAAAAACAAACAAACAAAAAAAGGTTGAGCAGACCAAGCTCAGTGTCAGGCCTTGTCCACCACACCCACTTGCCCTCTCACCAAAGACGTGTTTGAGCCTGGTTATGATTTAAAATTCAGTCCGGGACCTAATATGTGAGTGACCACAATCAGCAAGTACAGTGGGGACTCAGCTCTTGTTACCAGACTTTTCCATGGCTCCATCTGCTTCTGTCACGGCTGAGAGCCAATGTTCAACATCTCTGTGACGCTGACTGTATCTCCATCTGAGCCCCAGGACAGAGATCAGTGCTCTGCCCAGGTAGCCTGGGGCCCAGCCCACAGTTACGCTGGGTAGTGCCCACCTCCTTCAACCCATTCTCACTCCTACCTGGCTCTGTGCCCACGAGGAGAAAGACCTCATGGGCCATCAGCCTGCTACCCAGGCCCTGAACTTCTACCTGGCCTTGGCCAATGGGAGACAGGCTGGTGAGGGGCACATTGTGGGGTCATACACCTTCCCCTAAGCAGTTGGCAGCTGTGTCTGTTCAGAGATCATGACTCATTTCACACCATCCCAAGGTCTGCTCTCCTCCAAGTTAGGTGAGTACCGGATGGAATCCCTCCCCCCATGCTCAGCCCCAGTGCGTCCTCCTGCATTCCCACCATTCCTTGAGCTGCTCACATACTCCCAGCCTGTGCGTCATGTCCACAGAGGATCCATGGTAACATCTGCTGGGAAAACATGCCTTACCTACCCATGACTTAGGTGCTAGGAAACGAAACACTCTTCATAAACAAGATGACAGGAGGCCTGGAGAGATGGCTCAGAGAATAAGACACCAGCTTGGTTCTCAGCACCTGCATGGTAACTCATAAACTCCAGTTTCAGGGACTCTGACACCCTCTTCTGGTCTCTATGGGTACGGCACATATGCAGGCAAACACTCATATATATGAAATAATTATAAGTCATAAAAAGATGACATGAATCAAGATATCACATACCTCAGAAACACACACACCAATTAAAAAGGGGAAATGACATTCTGGACAGGGTGAACAGTGAGTCCCCAACATGAAGGCTGAGCTGAGGTCTGCTAACCAGCAAGGAGCTGCCTGGGCAGGCGGAGGAAGAACGGTACCTATACACACAAGGTTCCAGGTGACATGTACGCTCAGCATTTCACAGCATGAGAAAGACTGCCCTAGAGAAATGTCATCGACAGCTTGGAGACTGAGCTCACAGCCTCCCTGGCCACCTTGAAGGACGCAGAACGCCAAATGCAGTGTCAGCTATGCTTTATTTTTATTACACATCTCTTGATCACCAGAGCCTACACAGAGGGCTCTGCTACAAAACAAAGGGGGGATAAAAGAAGCAGCCACAAGATTAAATGCTGGGGTATAGTTGAGGGGCACGCAGGGCCTGCCTGGGGTGAAAGTGCATGGTCACTGGGCCCAGGGCACTAGTGTGTGTGTCCAGGGAGCTGAGTCCAGTGATGGCAGCACAGTCAGGGCATGGGTAGTCCCCAGACCTAGGGCCACAGAGGAGTTCCATTCTGCTCCATTCATTCCAGACTGCACAGACAGGCTTCTTCCTTGGCATCTTCGGGTTGGAACAGCCTGCCCTACACACACACACACACACACACACACACACACACACACACACACACACACACACACGCACGCACACACACGCCTGGCACATATACTCACTCACACTTACAAGCAGAGCTCTTGATGTCAGGGCTCCATCTCAGGTTCAGCTACCAACTTCAGAATCAAGGTGTGTGCTCGTCTCCTTGGCAGACTGATGAGGCACTGCCCAGGCAGATATCTAGCAGCTCGAGGTCCCAGCAGGAGGAGCAGCCTGCTGGACACTGTGGACATGAGGGAAAGTCCCACGGAGACCTGCAGGTGGCAGCCTCAGTCAGGGAGGTGCAGAAACCAGTTCTGAAACCAGATCTGCAAAATCAGCCCCGCCCCTCAATAGCCAGTCCAGGAGGAAGCAAAGTGCCAGGAGGCTGGTGCCCAGCAGGTCCCCCAGGCCCGTGAGGTAGGGGATACAGTGGTTGTCAGGATCCAGGGCCTGGTGCCAGGTCAGCCGAACCATCACTTCTGCTAGGTACAGCAGGATTACCACCTGCCAGAAGAGCAAAGAGATGTAAAAGACAAGTCATAGGCCCGAGGGCAGCCAAGAACATCAGCTGGCTTCCAAGGACACCACCAAGGTAGTCAACCCCAGCCAGTTCCCTTTCTCCAGCTTCGCTTGGGACCCGAGTGTCTTGGACATGCACTGGAAATTTGATTCTCACTGTGGTGGTGTTGAGGTGGGGGGACCTTTCTGAACTGAGGCCTCGTGAAGACTAGTAAGGTCATGAATGGACTGATACTCCTTGAGGGAGTGGATCGGGTCCCCTGGGTCTGAATTGGTTCACAATATAGGTTGTTAAAGGACAGGGCTGGGCCACTGCTGTTGGCTGGCTTCCTTACACACACAGGCCCCTTCAGCCCACAGCTGGCTCCCTGTCCACTTTCCTATGCCTGTCACATGCTGGTTGGACCTCTTGGCAACTTTAAGTGTGAGCAAATAAACCTCTTGTTCATATGCCCTTCCCAGCAGTTGGGTCCTGCTCTGGCCTCTGACGTGTCACAGGGACCTGCTGCCACTCATCAGCCAGGACCCTCTGCTTGAACCCCTTGGGAGGTTTGGTGACCCCTTCTAGAAGCTTCCGAGGAGCGGTCCACATGGCCCTACGCTGGTGACATAGTCCCTGCAGTCTTTATCAGTCCATGTTCCTTTCCCCTAAGGCCTTGGACTTGCCTAAGTCTAGAGATGAGGAAACACTACGGTGTAACCTCTTGAAACTGCCATAGTGCCCAGCGTCTCTCTGCTGACACTCTAGGCCACCAGGGACACTAGCCAGCTGGCGTCTCAGCAGTGCTGAGTCCTCCCTAAAGCAGCAGCAGCTTAATCTCTTTCCCATCGACCACGTCCATCTTGCCTGGAAGGAAGGATATAAGCGCCCTTCAACCCCATGCAAAGCAGGGGCTTCTGTGTGGGATGCAGCGGCTCAGCCTCCTCCACAGAACACAACACATCTTCAGAGGCTCTTGCAGCACTCTGGTGGGTGTGGCATGCAAAGTGAGTGACATGTGGGTGTGGGGTGTGACCCTGCAACATGAAGTGTGCAGGGTGCAGGGAGACGTGGTGTGAGGTATGTGGTTCACGGCACAGTGGCCACCCTGTCCAGTCCATGCCGCTGGGCTTGAGCAAACTGGCTGAATCTCTGTCTGACGGGAGCTCTGCTCAGTACCTCGCACGGGACAAGGACCACTAATGCTGGCTGAGAAGCCATGGAGTCTGTGTGTCTCTGTCACTGTCACCCTCACCTGGATCATGCCTGCCACCAGGTACAGCACCAGGAAGATCTTGCTACTTGTCACTGACTGGCCTTCCACCAGGCAGATGAGGTAGAAGAAAATCAGATGTCCTGGGACTACCAGAAAGAGCAGGACTCGAGCTGATACGGAGTTGATTTCTAGAAGGAATGGAATCAAGAAAATCACAAATCTACCTGCTTGCAGAGGCCATCTTGGCAAAGGAAGAGTCTCCAGTGAGGTCCCCAAGCTCCTTCCCTATAGATACCTATGGATGTGCCACACTCTGTTAAGTGGGAACTTGGTCCTGACCTCTCCTTCCTTCAAGAGGCTGACATTTGAGGGAACAGCTGCGAGTCATGTAGTTGGTCACACACAGAAGGAAGGCAAGAAATATGTTTTTTAAAAAAGCTTAGACTGCTGGGTGGTGGTGGCACACGCCTTTAATCCCAGCACTCGGGAGGCAGAGGCAGGCAGATCTCTGTGAGTTTGAGACCAGCCTGGTCTACAAGACAGCCTCCAAAGCCACAGAGAAACCCTGTCTCAAAAAACCAAAAAAAAAAAAAAAGCTTAGACTAGGAAGTGTCACAAGTGGGGACAGCTCCCAGGGTTCTAAAGGCCCCTGTGGGGAGGGGGGACAGGCTGTGGGGGAGATAGACTGTGGCAGGGGCAGCTGGGGAGGGTGACATACTCGCAGGGCTCCCTGGGTGGCTGCCCATACCTTGTTTGTCAGTACAACTGAAGCATCGTGAGCTCTGAGCTCTGGCTTTCTTCTGCTCTCAGTTTAAGGCTCTGTAATGAGTGGACTTCACCCCACCCGGACCCAACAACAAACGTGTGGACATTACAGCAAGTGTGAGGCTTTCTCAACCATCTCTGTCCCCATGAGAGTATCAGGAAAAGGCAGGGAAGTCACAAGTCAAACTCAGAAACTCCGAGAACAAATGAACTAAAACCAGTCAATGAACGGAAGCAATTTTGTTTGGGTGGCGTGGGTTGTTAGGGATAGAGTATAGGTCCGTGACACAGCATTTGCTGAGTGTGCTCAAGGCCCTAGGGTTCCATCCCCAGGGCCAGAAAAACCATTTTTGGGGGACAGAGGGAAAGGGTTTCATGCAGCCCAGGATGGCTTTGAACTTCTGATTCTCCTGCCTCCACCTCCTGAGTAATGTGTGCACCACCACATCCACTTTTACATAGAGCTGAGGATTGAATAGTCACCTGTGTTGCACTCCCAACCAATTCTGTGTGTGTGCACGAATATACGTGTGTGTGCCACATGTATGTGTGTGTGTGCGCGCGCGTGTGCATACGTGTGTGTGTGTGTGTGTGTGTGTGTGTGTGTGTGTGTGCTATCCTCAGGAGCCTGAAGCTCACCCATTTGGTGAGGCTTGCTGACAGCCTCAGGAACTCACCTAGCTCTGCTTCCCAGCACTGGGCACACACATGGGCACCACCATGCCTGCTCTTTGTTGTTGTTCCTGGTTTGTTGTTGTTTTCAAGACAGGGTTTCTCTGTGTTGCCCTGGCTTCCCTGAACTCGATCTGTAGACCAGGCTGGCCTCCAACTCACAGAGATCCTCCTGCCTCTGCCTCCTGAGTGCTGGGATTAAAGGCGTGTGCCACCACCACTTGGCTTTGTTTCTGTTTTTTTCATGTGGGTTCTGGGGACTGAACTCAGTCCTCACACTTGCGCAGCAAGCATTTTTTTCCTGACCCAGTCATCTCCTCAACCCCAACTCTTTCTTTTTTTAAAGGCATGTAAAGAAAGCCTAAAAGGGAAGACGCTGTGAAGTAGGTGAATACCCCAGAATGTGCAGTTTGTAGGGGTAGCATGCCATGTGGGGCAGCTAGACTCAACACTCAAGTAAATCTGTAGGAAAACCATGTGTGAGCAATAAGTATTAAGTAAAATGTGTGATGCATAAACGACACAGGCAAACAGGTTTCCAACTGTGGGTGGTGTTAGAAAAACAAGGGAGCATGTGCACATGGTCACCATTAAACTCGAGGTTGAGGTGACATTCATCATCCAAGTCCAGGAGTTCAAGGCCAGGCTGGGCAGCAGAGTGAGACCTCCCATTGCAAACATATAAACACACACACACACACACACACACACACACACGCACACACACCCAAACCAACAAGGGGTTGGGGAATGATTAAGGTCACATGGCCCCAGCAGACAGCATACCGACCTGAGGAGCAGAAAGTGAAGCATGGGTTAGGCCAGAATCTTTTCATCTGGACGGGGAGGACCCCAGGTGTGCTCCACATGTGCAGGAAGGTGGAGATTCGACTGGTCTGAATGGCCACCAGGTTGCCACCAACACCTGTGAGGAGAGAGGGTGTGGCATCTCCATCCTCTGGCTTTTTCCTATATATTGCTTTCTCCAAGATGGTGTCCGAGAATGACAAGGCATTTCTTATATTTTTGGTTGTGAGCCTAGCCTTTAACGGCTGAGCTATCCCTCCAGCCCGACAAGGCATTTCTTATCTCCTCTCTCCTTCCCACTCTGCCTTGCTGGGCACCCAGAGAGGGTGGCCCAGATCCTGTGAGCCATCACCCTGACAGCCAATCTCTAAGGCTAGTGAAGTTGAACAGGCAAAGCCCAAAACAACAAAACCCTGGATGGTCCTGTGGGTGTCGGAGGGGGATGGGTGGATGGGTGGGTGGGTGGATGGGGTCTTGAGTGTGCAGAAAACCATACCTAGAGGTGTGGCTGGATGACGCATGGGGGTGGGGTATCTTCAGGGAGACTCAAGAGGCTTGGGAAGGGTATAGAACATCGACAGGACCCAGGATGCCACCAGCACCCAGAAGACCAAGAGCATGTTCACACCCTGGAATTCTGAGATATCTTGCTGAGGCTGAGAGTCCTGTTCAGTCCCTACCCAGCCCAGGGATCCCAAGAGGAGCCACACCCAGAACTCACCACAAATGACGGGAGTCAGGACAGCCATGCCTTTAAACTGATGCTTAGAAATGGTTCTGCTTAAGATGAGGCCTCCGAAACTGGGGAAAGAGTGGGGCTGACGTCAGAGTGGCCCGGCCAACTGCCACTGGTAAACACCATCCCTTCCCCACACAGAGAGTGTGCTGCAATCCAGCTGTCTCCTCATATCACGTCTCCGTCTTTATTCCAAGTCTCAGCTGTTCCAGAAGGTCCTTTGGATGATGGCAACCCATTATGAAATAAGAGCCTTCCCAAGGCTGCAAGCAGCCCAGGTCCTCCTGGCGAGGCTCTGTCTGGGATGAGACACCAACACCCCTGTCAGAGACCCGGCTTCCACCAGAGTGGGAAAGGGTTTTCTACCTCTCAGACTTCGCAGAGACTTAGAGAAAGTAGATCAGTTTTTGTGAGTAGCCTTAGAACATCTTAGGGGTAAAGTGTTGTGGAATATTATTTTAAGATTCATTTATGCTGTGAGATATTTATTTAATGATGCTAAGATGTGCTGCATTCTTTTATGTTGTATTTGTTTAACTCTGTGAAGCTGTGTTACTTTGCCTGTCTAAAACACCTGGTGGTCTAAGAAAGAGCTGAATGGCCAAGAGCTAGGCAGAAAAGGATAGGTGGGGCCGACAGGCAGAGAGAATAGATAGAGTAAGAAGAGGAAGGAGTGAGAAAAGGAGGAGAGGACACCATGGGCCAGCCACCCAGCAATGGAGGAAGAAGTAAAGAAAGAAATACAGAAAAACCCAGAGGCAGAAGGTAGACGGGATCATTTAAGTTAAAAGCTGGCTAGAAACAAGCCAAGCTAAGGCTGGGCATTTATAAGTAAGAATAAATCTCTTTATGTATTTGGGAGCTAGGTGATGGGCCCCCAAAGACCAAAGAGTAACAATTAAAAAAAAACATAGAGTAAATGTAGCTGAACATAACCTCCTTTTCCTGAGATTTGGGTTAGAACAGGACAGAATGGACTGCAGTGGTCCCTGTCAACGTGTCCCACTAGAAAACACGGTGGGACCAACCCTACAACTCTCTAGGCCTCACCAGCAGCTATGCTGGGGTAGTGACCATGGGTGAGAACTGTTTCCTTGCAGCCAGGATAAGGGAACCTGAAGCTCACTGTGCTGGGTGACTTTTGTCAACTTGGCACAAACCTAGAAATATCTTGGAAGAAGGAATCTTAGTTGACAAAATGTCTCTATCAGATTGGTCTATAGGCAAGTATGTGGTGTATTTTCTTGATTGAAGACTGATACAGGAGGGCCTAGTCCACTGTGGGTGGTGCCACCCCTGGGCCGGTGATCTTGGGATATATAAGAAAGCAACATGAGTCTGGAGGATCTTTGTGAGTTCTAGGCCAGCCTGGTCTACAGAGTTCCAGGACAGCCAGAGCTAAATAGAGAAACCCTGTCTCAAAAAACAAACAAGAGAGAAAGAAAAAAAGGACGGGAAGAAAGAGAGAGAGAGAGAGAGAGAGAGAGAGAGAGAGAGAGAGAGAGAGAGAGAGAGAGAGAGAGAGAGAGAGAGAGAGAGAGAGAGAGAGAGAGAGAGAGAGAAATTTCTGCTTGGAGTTCCTGCCTTGACTTCCCTTCATGATGGGCTGTAAGCTGAAATAAATCCTTTCCTCCAAAGTTTCTTTTGGTCATGGTGTTTAATCACAGCAATAGTAGCCCTAAGACACCTGCATAGGAGTTTCAATAGTCAGTGTTCCATAGCACCGGGACAGGGCATAGAAGTTAAACTGCACTCAGTCTGCATTGTAAGACAGAGGTGAGCTCTAGGAGTCACAGTGGGATGTTATGGTTTGAAGTGATTTGTCTGTTTGTAATCTTGACAAGGGGTAGATAGATTGTCATGGCTATTTTTTTAAAGGTCTCACTATGTAGTTCTGTCCAGCCTTGAACTCATTATGTAGACCAGGCTTGGCCTCAGACTCACAGAGATCCACCTGCCCTGTGCCTCCAGAGTGCTGGGATTGAAGGTGTGTGGTACCTTGCCTGACCTGCAATGGTTAAGCTGACTGTTGGCTTGGCCAGATTAGAATCACTAGGTGATCAGGACTTGGTGTGTCTGTCAGGACATTCCCGAGACATTTGATTACAACGGGTCATCGGGGCTCTGCCTTGATGGATGGATCCCTTGATGGAGTAATAATCTTCTGACATTGTTGGGAGGTGGTGAAAGGCAGGAGGCTGGGCCTGGCTAGAAGGAGGAGGTCCCCAGGGATGTGAATCCCTGGAAGTTGCATCTTGGCCTGGCATCTTCCTGTGTCCTGGTCACCTCTGAAGTGGACAGCACTTCTCTGAGTTATGCTCCTGGGGCCACAGGGCACATGGTCAACCTATCTGCGCCCTCTGAAACAGTGAGACAAATAAACCTTCCCTCCCTGAAATTGCTTCCATCAGCCATTGCTCTCACTGAACGGAGGGTTCAGGGTCCACACAGCTCACCTGCTGATGACCATAGCCAGGATGATGGGGAACCACCCATACTTCAGGATCTTCATGATGGGCGGGTTCTGCTTGGCAATGAAGATCCACAGAGGGGAGACAGCCATGAAGCCGATGCAGACCAGGGGCGTTAGATACCACATGTCTGAGAGAAAGCAGACAGACAGCGTTCATATGCCACGGCTGGCACATGGGCTCCGATTGCGGCGTAGCCTTTCACAGTCCAGAGGCTAAGTTTGGGACTGAGGTACTTGCCATTTGGAGGGGCTGTCCTACCACACTTGCCAGACAGCAACTGTTAAGCAACTGGGAAAGCTCTCTGTCCTGCCCTGCCCCTTCACTTCTCAGATGTCCTGGCAATCAAGAACCCTGCCCAGCGTTTTAACAGAACTATGACAGGGTCTGAGCATGTGGCAGCCTTGCACGTGTTTGACAGTTCTCGGTTACCCTGCTCGGAGGTGCCAAAAAGGCCCAGAAGAGCCAAGAGGCAGCTTCCCAGACACGTAGCTGCAGGAGCAGAATCAGGAGGAAGCTCTCTCCTGGCTGAGATGCTCCATATTGTGGAGTGTGGATCAGGCTGGCCTGCTAGCTACTCATACCCCAGAGTCACCTCCGGCAATGAGGCTAGGATGCTGCTCACCCAGGGCCAATGCCCTCAAAGCGCCGCTCACCTCTGCTACCTTCCAGTGCCCTCAAAGCGCCACTCACCTCTGCTACCTTCCAGTGCCCTCAAAGCACCGCTCACCTCTGCTACCTTCCAGTGCCCTCAAAGCACCGCTCACCTCTGCCTTCCGATACCCTCAAAGCGCGGCTCACCTCTGCTACCTTCCAATGCCCTCAAAGCGCGGCTCACCTCTGCTACCTTCCAATGCCCTCAAAGCGCCACTCACCTCTGCTACCTTCCAGCCTCCCTGTCTGACTCCACTTCACACACGTGCACAGAACACTGACTTGCTCTAGCGTCATCTTTTCACCCTGTTCCTACCGTCCCGAGCAACCCTAATGCTAGGTGGCCACACATGGTCTGAGGCCCGCTCTCCTTCTCTGGGCGGTGTTGCTGGGAACAGTCCCTCTTCATTCTCCATAGCACACAACTGTGGTCCCTTCGTCTGCTGCAGGTGACAAAGTGCTTCATGGTGGCTATGGCCAGCTTCTACACCATCCCCAGGGCCGGAAGGCAGGCCCCACAAGCTCTGAGCAGGTCACTAACACTCAGGGACACAGTAGCCTGGGGAAGTGTCTCCTTACACATTTGGGAGGGTAGTCAGGTTTTTTGTAACTTCTGACAGGGAGCCATCTATGCATCCTGACTGCTTCTGGCAGCTGTGAGCTAACTCACTCCTCAGTCAGTGAAGACCTGTCTCCTGGGGCCATGCCCACTGTTTTCCTGAGCAGAGGCAGAGATGTGAGGGAAGGGGGCGGGGTAGTGCTCTAATTTGCTTTGCAAATCAAATGCAAATAACTAACTCCTATGTAAGTCTGGTTTAAATTCAGTCTGCCCTCCAAGTACAACTAGGTCTTCTTATCTGACTCCAAGGCTCCTCACTGTCACCTAACAGAGCTCAGTCCAGACTGGACAGAGGTGTCCCCAGCACAGTGGAGGCCTCACTGAGTGGTTTTGTCTGCATCCACTAATTATTTCTCCAATCTCTGAATCCTTCCCATGGGGCACTGAGCTGTGCCAGACATTTCCTCCAACAACTGTCACCACATGCTCACCACTCTCCACTGGTCTCATCCTGAAACACAGACGCACCCACCCCCAGAGCAGCCTTGGGCAGAAATTGACAGCCCCACATCTGTAGACCAGAGCTGTTCATCTCACTCCACACTGTTTCCAGGACCCTGGACTTGCTCAGAGACTCCAGGTGCCTCCCATCCCCCACCCCACCTCTTGCAGAGGAGGCTCGGGCTCCACAGCGCCCTCGCTCCTCTCTTTGGGGATGGTGTACCCGTTCCCACCAGGCTGGGGTGATCTGCATAGGCCCCTCCTTGGCGCCTTCCTTACCTCTGTGCCTGTAGAAGAAGCTGCTTATCAGGGCGAGGATGGATAGTGTGATCAGGTCTCCCAGGCTGGCTGCGATGGGCGTGGCGATGTTATCAGGGTTGACCCCAAACTTGCGAGCACCAACCACTATGCAGGTCATTAGAATTCCTGCAGCGGAAGGAGGGGCCCAGGGAGCAGTTGGTGGTGAGATGGCTTAGAGGCCCCTTGAAGGGTCAAGTAGGCAGTCAGAAAACTCAATAAATAGTTGTATCTATCAAAGTCTGGACGCTCAGCAGGCTGTCCACCTGGCTGAGACCTGTAAGGGTGGCCTGGAGACCCTGAAGACACACCTGAGCAGGTCCCTGGCCTCTCAAACCACAGCAATCAGCCTCTGCTGCATGGAGGGCTGCTCCAAGGACGTTCTAAGCAACAGGAGCCTGAGGGGCAGGGGGACCTAAGTCTCCAGTGCCTGGGGACCTAAGTCTCCAGTGCCTGCTGGGTCCTCTGATCAACTGATATGTGAGACATTTATTAGGTTCAAGCACCAATGGAGAATGCAGAGGGAGAGCAGTTGGAGACTCAGTCAAATATCAGAGATATCCTGGGGGTCCCTTATCTCAGGAGCTCAGCTATGCTGTCCCTGGGCACTAGGGTGGAACATGTGACCCAAAAGTGCAGATAATGATGGGCTTCATGGCTTGTCTGGGAGATGAGAGAGGCCCATTTCAGGACCCAGCTCCAGGACCCTCTGCTCTGTCTGAGGGCCCCGCCCTGTAGTCTTGTAAGCTCCATTGTTCCTAGCTGGGGCTTAGCCTATCAGCAGGCTCCCCCCACCCCAGTTCTTCAAAACATTCTGTCTCTTGGCTGTTAGAATTTAATACTGCTTAGAATGCTGTGACCCTAAAAATAATTACAGCAAAGCCCTGCGCTCAATCCCTAGCATCACAAATGAATGGTATTAAAAATAAACATGTCTACATTCACTCTCCAGGCTGTCCTAATGCTGCCACCACCTGCCACATTGTGCCCTTTGTGTGACCAAACCAGAGCCCAGATTCTTCCTTCCAAACTCCAGCAAGTGGACCCAAATTTACACAGTTGGTCCCACTGAAGCCCCCTAAAGGATGCAACGCTGGTTGGGAATGCTTATTAAAAACCATTATGTAGGCCGGGCGGTGGTGGCGCACGCCTTTAATCCCAGCACTCGGGAGGCAGAGGCAGGCGTATCTCTGTGAGTTTGAGGCCGGGCTGGACCGACAGCCTCCAAAACAATACAGAGAAACCCTTATGTAGTCACCCTCTTGACATATTTAGAGCCCAACAAACTAGATGAAGAAAGTTGCCATGCTCAGGGACCTGACCTCAGCAAGGAGTGATAAACTGAAGTATGTCAAGGCTGAGGCAAGGACAACAAAGCTCCCTCAGGCATGCACACCTTCTTTACACACACACACATACACTCATGTGTGCACACACACAGCACACCTTGCAACAGAGCTGCCTAAGGCATGCACACACTTTGCTTACATGTGCCTGTGCATGCATGGACCTGTGCATGCATGCACACGCGCGCGCACACACACACACACATACACTCATACACACATATGCACATACATACTCATACACACATATACACATATGCACACACACATAAACAGACACTCATACACACAAATGCACACACACAGACACAGACCCTTTGAGAGGACACCTGGCAGACTGAGGATCTAGCAAGCCCCCCCCCCACCTGCAGACGCCTGAAGTTCCACACCAGCGCCACAGCAGCCTGATGGCTCAGCTCTCTGGGAATCTTAACAGAAGAGCAGAGAAAGCAGGCCTGAGGCCGGGGGATACATGGGCATGGCTCACCTAGGGCCAAGGCAGCAAGAAAGGCAGTGATGACGCTGCTCGTGCACAGCAGTGCCACTTTAGCCCAATCCAACTCCTCTCGGGACACTGCGCCCAGCATCAGGGAGGCCACTGCGGCCAGGAGCCCCACGACAGTGGCCTGCACCTGCCAAGACAGAAATCAGACCCATGAGAAGGGTCCCTGACCACTGCCACCCTCCCTGTCCTTCTGACTCCTAGTCACCTCAAGGATCAAACAAGGCCCTCATAACTACTGTATTCCCTTCACCCTGAGCCGTGCTGGTCTCCTCCTCAGCACTTCCCTCCAAGGTGACTCCATGGAGAGCTGCCCTGTCTACCTCTGTCCCATGTGAGATGCCACCTGCAAGTGGAGAACAGGGTCTCAGAGGGACATCTGCCTCTGGCTCAGAGCGCCATGATGGCTGGCCCAGGTGCACACTCTGCAACCCGGAGAGTAGCACTGACTGGCCTCACTCCCAGCCTCAGGCTCGCAGCAATATCACACATGCCTGCCTCACATCCCAGCTGTCCTGGCCCCAGCCCACGTTTGCATTACAGCCTCATCTCTGCCTCTGGAACATGAGGCTCCGGACCACTGCGTCCCTCACCATCTACAGCCCAGGTCCAAGCCAGCATCAGGACCCTAATTCAAAATGTCTGTATGGAATGGTGCCCAATACCAAAGGGTGAAGGGACACAGGCAGAGCCCTATAATGCCTACGGACAAGAAAAGCAAAGGTGTCTGTGTGTGTGTGTGTGTGTGTGTGTGTGTGTGTGTGTGTGTGTGTATGTATTTTGCATGTGGCAGGTGAGGGGCACACGTATATGAGTCAGAGGATAACTTGTAGGAGTTGGTCCTTCCCTTCTCCATGTGGGTCCCAGGGATTGAACTCAGGTCATCAGTCTTGGCAGCAAGTGCCCTTACCAGCTGAGTCATCTTTTTGAGACATGGACCTAGGGCTGTTTCCACATGAGTCTGGCTGGCAGCGAGCTCTAGGGATCTTCCTGTCTCTGCCTCCCCAGAGCTGAGACATAAAGAGCACAGCGCCACACTCAGCTTTTTACACCAGTTCTGGAGATGGAACTCAGGTTTGATGCTTGTGCAGTAAGCACACAACAAGTAACCCAAATTAACCAGTGTGACCCCAACCAGAGCCCCCATCACCAGTGTGATCCCAACCAGAGTGTGATCCCAACCAGAGTCCCATCACTAGTGTGATCCCAACCAGAGCCCCAATCACCAGTGTGATCCCAACCAGAGTCCCATCACCAGTGTGATCCCAACCAGAGTGTGATCCCAACCAGAGCCCCAATCACCAGTGTGATCCCAACCAGAGCCCCCATCACCAGTGTGATCCCAACCAGAGTGTGATCCCAACCAGAGTCCCATCACCAGTGTGATCCCAACCAGAGTGTGATCCCAACCAGAGTCCCATCACTAGTGTGATCCCAACCAGAGCCCCAATCACCAGTGTGATCCCAACCAGAGTCCCATCACCAGTGTGATCCCAACCAGAGTGTGATCCCAACCAGAGCCCCAATCACCAGTGTGATCCCAACCAGAGTGTGATCCCAACCAGAGTGTGATCCCAACCAGAGCCCCATCACCAGTGTGATCCCAACCAGAGTCCCATCACCAGTGTGATCCCAACCAGAGTGTGATCCCAACCAGAGTGTGATCCCAACCAGAGCCCCATCACCAGTGTGATCCCAACCAGAGCCCCATCACCAGTGTGATCCCAACCAGAGTCCCATCACCAGTGTGATCCCAACCAGAGTGTGATCCCAACCAGAGTGTGATCCCAACCAGAGCCCCATCACCAGTGTGATCCCAACCAGAGTCCCATCACCAGTGTGATCCCAACCAGAGTGTGATCCCAACCAGAGCCTCCATCACCAGTGTGATCCCAACCAGAGTGTGATCCCAACCAGGGCCCCATCACCAGTGTGATCCCAACCAGAGTCCCCATCAACAATGTCATCCCAACCAGAGTGTGATCCCAACCAGAGTGTGATCCCAACCAGAGTCCCATCACCAGTGAGATCCCAACCAGAGCCCCCACAAGATTTCCTTTGGTGCCTGATGAGTAAGCACAAGCACAGAGCCAAGACAGTTTAGTGGAATTAAACTGGGGGAATTGCTGGTACATGTCAGATACATTGTAAAGTATGAATCGAAATGTACCACAAAGCTGGAGAGACAAAAACCATGCAGCACTGCCCAAAAGAGACACAGGGAGTCACAGGACAGAGGGGAACCCAGAAAAAATACACAGAGCCACAGGACAGAAGGGAACCCAGAAGGAGACACAGGGAGTCGCAGGACAGAGGGAACCCAGAAGGAGACACAGGAAAGTGTTCTGTAAGTGAAGGGGGAGCAAACAGGAGGTGAAGAGGGGGCAGAGAGGGGACGAAGACGGGATATCCCGGATGCAGGACTTCAGCAGGTGACTACTAAATAACCAGGGCAAGGCAAACCGAGTCACTATGGCCAGGAGAAAGGAGGACTCCCCCACCCCACTTCACACCCTTAAACACTGACCCCAAGGTGTGAGATAAAGGGATATTTGATAGTCGAAGAGTTTTACAGCCTGGCATGGTTTGTGGTAACTGTTCCCACAATTAGAGCCATCAAGATCATCTGACTATCATACACGGGGACCTAGCAAAAACCAAATAAATGTTTAAAACTATCTCTGACCAGGAAAGGCTTTCTTTTAAAGATACAACATAAAATCCATAAAGAAAAACACAAAGCAGGACTTGGTAACACACGTCTACAATACCTGCTACTCTGGAGGCTGAGGTAAGGCCACAGGCCAAGGTCTGCCTAGGCCACACAGTGAGTTCAAAGCCAGCCTGGGCAACTAGGCAAGCCCTAGTGTCAAACATAGAGCAAATAAAAGCAGGCAGGAATAGAGCCAGGTAGTAGAGCACTCACCTAGATGCATGTAGTTCAAAAGTCATTGCTGACAAAAGCATCTATATATAGTATGTTACATGTCATATATGATAAAGACACCATGGAGTCACGGGGAAGATGATTGACTCCCCTAGTTTTCAGGAAGATTCTAAGTAGATTATGATATGAAGCATGTCACTGGGTGTTGGTGTTCCTCTTAGTGTCTGGCAATGAGGATATAGCCCCAGCACCTGGCATGGCTCACATACGGTTAGTGAATGAGTGAATACCTGGAGGCCTGTTCTTTATCCTTCAGGACTTGTGCCGTTAGCATGGATTCAGAATGTCCTCAGAGGCCCATGCTTGAAGTCTGGTCTTCAGTTATAGGAAGGTGTATGGATCATTAAGACGCAGTTTCCTAGGAGATCTCAGGTCACTGGAAGAATGCCCTCAAGGGGATTGTGAGGCCCCAGCCCCTCCATTCTAATTTGCTTCCTGGATGTCAAGAGATAGCTTTGCTCCATCATACACTGCCATGAACCCAATAGCAACAGGAATCAAGGACACAGTGAGCCAAGACACACCTTCCGTCCACACAAGCAAACTGTCTCAGGCACTCTGTCGCGGTGACGGAAAACAGACTCACTAGTGACACGGCCACTGAAAAGGTGGTAACCGTGAAACATACTGACAGGTAGGTCCTGGGAAGCTGGTTCTCGTTCACTGATGGTGCCAACAACTGGAAAGGGAGTTGGGGGTGGGCTGGGGACCGAGCATCTTTTCCAGAGAAGCATTTGCGTACGTGAACAGAGTTGGGGTAACAGTATTGTAGACAGGAGTGGCTGGTGGTTCACACACTTCTCTAGCCATACGGCTCATTGCAGGATGAGATGTGCAGGAAAGAACTCCGTGTCCGTAAGCCAGAGTTCTCCGTGAGTGGGTCTGAAGGGTTCTTTCTATCCCAAGGTAACGGAGGAGTCACCCACATACTACTGCAGGTACCAGGTACTCAATATGGCTATTTTGTGGGATGTCTTTTTTTTCCCAGAGAAAAATCTAAGCTTAAAACTGTCTGGAAGGCCACGTGGTTCAGTGATGGAGAGCTGGTCCAGTTCATGTGAGACGCTGGGTTCCAGTTCCAGCTTATCGGGCTGACAGACAGACGGTAAGTCTTAACATAAAGAAGAAGGTAGCCATGCCGCTATCACTTAGTAAAGACTAGGGAGAATGAGGCTATGGCTCCTGAGACAGAGCCAGGGGCTGAGGGGCTGGCATGGGGTGCTCAGTGGCTGCCCTCAGTCTCACTGGGGAGTCCATGAGAAGTGTTACAACTTCACACCGAGGGGATGCAGAGACAATTGAGAGCAGTTAACAGCAATTGTACTATAGCAGAGGACCCGGGTTCGATTCCCAGCAACCCTCATGGTGTTCACTATTGCCTGAGATCCAGCTCCAGGGGATCTGATACCCTCTTCCGACCTCTATGGGTACCAGGCACAAACATAGCATGCACACTACATGCAGACAAAATACCTATGTACATAAAATTTAAAATAAAAAATTCATGCTGAGAACAAATGACTATTTAGTGTTCAACCCTATCCAAGACATGGACACCGACCTCCCCAGGGCTCAGGAAATGTCACAGAAGAGGTGGCAGAAAGAACATCAAAACAGCAGGGCAGGACAAGACTGCGAGCTGCCACCTACTGGGCTGACATGGCCGTCCCACTCATGCGCCTGCTGGCCAGGATCAAGCCAGCAGGATCAGCCAGTGTGCACCGCCTGGACCCAGCGGGTTACCACGGAAAGGGGGAGGACAAGGTGGGAAAGGATGTGTGGGCGCTGTTCAGGAAGGCCGGGGAGGAGATGGAGTGCATCTGACCAAGTGACCAAGGCACACAGAAAGTGTTAAATAATTTTAAAATTTCACCCCTGGTTTCACATTTAAATGACAGAACATGTTGAAGAAGTTTTTTTTTTTAAAGTCCAACTTTGAACTTTACCTGATGACTTGTGACTCAAAGTTAAGCCCTTTGAAAATGGAGGAAGCAAATCACATGTAAGCTGCATTTGAGGCAGCATGTCATGTGGTGGGATGTCTGTACACTGTGTGAAGGTGTATTGCTGTGATTAGGGTAATAAAAACTGAATGGCCAATAGCCAGGCAGGAGGTATAGGCAGGATCTCAGGGAGAGAAAGGAGGAGGAGGAATCTAGGTGTGTGGGAGATGCCAGGAAACAGAGAGAGGACGTGCAAGATGGAAGAGGTAACGCCACACGATAGAACATAGATTAATATAAATGGGTTAATCCCGGCACTCAGGAGGCAGAGACAGGCGGATCTCTGTGAGTTCGAGGCCAGCCTGGTCTACAGAGGGAGTGTCAGGACAGCTTCCAAAACAATACAGAGAAACCCTGTCTGGAAAAATCGAGAAAAAAAAAAGAAAGTTGTAAGAGCTAGTTAGGAGCAAGCCTAAACTATAGGCTGAGGCTTCATAACAAGAAGTCTCATGTCATTATTTGTGCCTGAAGAAACAGGCTGCCTGAAGAAAATTCCAACTACAATGTAGGTCTAGCCAGGCTCAGGAAGGCTTCATAAGACCTTCAGTGCTCTGTGCAGAAGGTTCTAGAAAGGCCTGAGCCACATGCCCAGTGCTGGGCATTTGTAACCCTCACCTGACCCCTTGCTATGGATCTGAATGCTGCTTTAATCTCTCAGCTACTCAGCCACAGGCTTGGTTCAGGCCTGTAAGACTCAGCTCAGGTATAGAAGGCAAGGGAGGTCAAGACAGGCCTGGACTGGGACAGTGGGGTAGGAGGCACATCCCCTGTAACCAAGAGGGAGAGGGCTGGATGGTGACACACACACACACACACACACACACACACACACACACACACACACACACACTCTCACGCACACACTCACACACACACTCAAGAGATTTGGCTGGATGGCTACATACACACACACACACACACTCACACTCAAGAGGGACAGGGCTGGGGGCTTCGTTAGTGGTTTTGTTGACTTGACACAAGCTAAAGTCAAATGGCAAAGAAACTGTGGTGGCATGAATAAGAATGGCCCAACGGGCTCATATGTTTGAATGCTTTGATAGGATTAGAAGGATTAGGAGGTGTGGCCTTGTTGGAGGAGGTGTGCCACTGGGGGTGGTGGGTTCTGAGGCTTTAAAAGCCCACAGCAGGTCCAGTTCTTTCTCTCCCTACCCAAGGATGAGGATGTAGTTCTCAGCTACTTCTCCAGCACCATGTCTTCCAGTGTACTGCCGTACTTCCTGCTGTAATGATAATGGGCTAAGCCTCTGGAACTATTAACAGTAGGGTGGGCAGCAAATGCACTGCATCCAAAAGGGGGAGTGCTGAAGGGTGGTACACACACTCTCTCTGAGGAGGAGGGGTGCAGGCCCCCACCCCCCGTTAAATACTCTCTTTCGCAAGAGTTGCCTTAGTCGTGGTGACTTTACAGTGACTAAAGCAGTACCTTCAGCTGAGGAAACGCCTCGTCCTTCAGAATGGCAAGTCTGTGGGGGCATTTTCTTAATTAATGATTGATGTGGGAGCGACCAGCCCATTATGGGTCCTGGATTGTATAAGAAAATCAGGTTGGGCAAGCCAGTAAGCAGCACTCTTCCATGATCTCTGCTTCCGTTCCTGCCTCCAGACTCCTGCCTTGACTTCCCTCAGGGATGGACTATAAACTGTAAGATGAAAGAAACCCTGTCTTCCTCAAGTTACTTTTGGTCGTAGCCTTTTATCATAGCAACAGAAACCTGACTAAGACAGAAGGGGTAGCAGGCAGTATCCGTCCCGCACAGAGGGCCAGTCTGGTGCCTTCAGCAGAGCCGAGTGCGAGGAGGGGAGATGAGGCCAGTTCTAACTTGCTGTTTGGGGGATGCCTCTGGGAGAGGCAGGGTTCTGACCTAGATGACAGGAAGAACAGGTGCCACTAATGGACAAGGACACACAGCTGACAGGTGATGAGAGTCTGACATTCCTTGTGCTACCAGGGGCTGCCTCTACCCAGCAAAGCTCGGAGACCGTGGACCACAGTCCTACAGAGCCAGCTCTGTGCCCAGCCTTCCTGCTTGCCTGAGCCTGTCCTGCCTTCATCTGTTCCTGCCTGGGTGCCCTGGCTTCAGTTTACTGTGAAAGGGGTCTGGGTAGAACTGAACCCACAGAGGAGAAGGAGGTTCAGTGTGAGGGGAGCATGGAGGCCTCTTGCAAAGGCTGAGAGAGGACAGGTTAGGCTGCAAGAACAAGGCTTATGGGGAGAATTTCCAGGTAGGAAGGACCCATCAGGTCCCAGAAAGATTAAGTCACTGGGAGAATGAGAACTTGGGGTGTGTCCATCCTGGGAACACCAGCGACACAGGGAAACACGGTGATGGCCTAAAAGTGGGAAGAAAGCCCCTAGGAAATGCAGGGCATGGTAAGTGATGAGCACGTCAGACCCCCAAGGATGTGGCTTAGAAGGCAGGTGGTGCGGACGCTGCAGGGGCCATGGACTTGAAGGCATCTCAGGCAGGTATGGTGGTTCCTCGTGATGACCTTCCCCGTGCCACAGATATGGCCTAGTGGGCAGATGGATGGACACACACACACCTGTCCTCCAGGTTCGGTCCAGTGTAGAGACAAGACTCACAGGCCTCCCCATCCTACCCAGAAAGGGGCGGTTGCAGACCCGCGGGGGAAGGGGAAGGCGCGGCACGATGGATGCTCCAGCACTCACCTGAACCACAGCGAGGTTGCTGCTGATGATCTTGTACCTCTCCTGGCAGTCATCCATTTGCCCGGTGTTGGCCTAGCACAGAGATAAAGGCAGCGTCAGGCAGCAGGGCCGGAGAAGCCAGTCCTTCCGGGAATAGCCGCCCCCCCCTCAGGAAACAAATCGGAACACAGAACAGATTATGCTGCTCAGCTTCGTAGACAGTGACCTGCCCCCACTCAGCATTCATTCTCTTTAATTATGTGTATGTTTGTCTGTGTGAGAATATGGGCACCTGTGAGTGCAGGTGTCCAAGGAGTCCAGAAGAGGGTGTCAGAGTCCCTGGAGTTAGAGTTACAGGCAGTTGTGAGCTGCCCAATATGGGCGCTGGGAGCCAAACCTGGATCTCTGCAAGAACAGTGAGCCGGCTCTCCTAACTGCTGAGTCAGCTCTCCTGACACACGTACACCCACCCGCCTTTTGTGAATTGACCTGGACTCTTTTTTTTCCTCCCCAGGTTTTGTTTATTTTAATTTTCTGTATACGGCTGTTTTGCCTGTGTTAATGGCTATACACCATGTATGTGCAGTACCTGTGAAGGCCAGAAGAGGGTGTCAGATTCCCTGGGACTTGATACAAATGGTTATGAGTTTCCCTGTGGATGCCAGAAATCAAACCCAGGTCCCTGTGAAAGAACACCAAGCCATCTCTTCGGCTGCTCTGGCCTCGTTTGTGGAGAAACAGCACTAAATATAGTTGGAGTTGCTGGCATCCCACAGTGAACAACGGACACTGCGGCCTCTTCCTGGCCCTTATTCGTCAGCTTCAGAACTCTTTTCTCAGGACCTTGGGTACAATCTACTTCCTCTGGATACTGCCCTTTTCACATGCAGGATGCCAAATGGCCATTGCAGAGAGGGAAAAACCTTCTGTATAACAGGAGGGAAAGAGAACCACCCCAGAGACGCCTGGGATAGGCAAGAAGAATTGGCCAAGGCAGAGCCTTTGTTGTCTACAGAGCCAAGTGCAGTCAGCCATAATGACAGGGGACAGGAGGTGTCTGATCCACAGAGGTAGTTAATGGGCAGCTGAGACCCACTCCTTGTTCCCTCCCCAGAATCCTCCCTGGAGCCTGTTCTGCCTTCTGAAGCGTTCAGGTGTAAGTGCGAGGGGGTGTGGCCTAGGGCCCAGGCGGCAGCATGCAGACTCTGGGGCACAGGGACACAGAAAGTCAACTGACACGGAGGCTGAGGGAGAGATGAAGGCTCTAAGGCACTGTGCTGGTCCCTCAACAGCTCAGGGTAGCCATGGAAAACAGTACAAAAAGCACGGAGGAGAGACAGGAACAGCCTGTGAGATGCCAAAGCAGAATAACACCTGTGTGGGTGGGGCCGGAGTCTCCACCCACACACCAGGGAGAGAGACCAAAAGAAGGGAACATCCTGTTCCCTTACTGCAGGTAACCCAAGACATCCAGCTGTCCCTTACGGATGTAGAGAGACGAGACGCCAGCGTCATCTCCAGGTTTCCCTTCAGACCCACCAGGGGCGGCACCAACGTCAGCAGGTCTTTAACCTCCTGGAACACTGGCCAGTGCTGGAAGAGAAAGAATAAGGAGATGAGGCCAAACTGCTGGCACAGCCCTGCAGATGTCCACGGAGAACCTCGTCAATGACCTTGACCCCCGCGAATGAACCTGTGTGAGACCCAGAAATGCCCTAAATGCTTTTATTTTGTTTTTTTGAGACAGGGCCTGTCTACATGGTCCCAGGTATGCTGGAACTCGCTATGTAGACTAGGCTGGCTTTGAACTCATAGAGATGTACCTGCCTCTGCCTTCTGAATGCTGGGATTAAAAATGTGGGCCACCCCATGCCCAGCCTAAATGGTTTCAAATGAGACACCAAACAAGACATTTTAAATACCATTAATCAAATCAGCAGCAGTGGCCTCCAGCAAGCCCCCTCCTGCTGGGAAAGCGGCAGAGCTAGAGTAGAGGTCAGAGGTCCAGCCTGGCCCAGCCCGAAAAATGTGCTGTTTACTGTGACATGGGGATTATGTGGGCAACAACAGTTTTGTAGAAACTGGAATGTCACCAGTTCAGGTTTATCTCTCTGAGTTTGAGAGGCATGGAAACACTACAGAGCTAGCTGGCGGACCACTTTGTCAGGGTCTCTCGGTCACCACGCTGCTGGGCTCTGTGCTTTCCAAAACAGAGAAGTCCATTTGACGGATCTCCTCCAAACCTAAAAACAGTAAAAACTGAAAAGGCAGAATAGCAGGGATGTTTCAAGAAAGTCCGGAAAAAGAGGAGGTATCTGTGGTGATGGAACCCTCCCCCCAAATACCCACAGATCTGACTTCCCCAATACCCACAGTATGACCTCAATGGAATAAGATTGTAAGGTTGTAGGGCTCTGGGTTCTAGGGCTGGAGATAAATCCTCCTTCTCTGCAGGGGACAGGAGGCCTGGGCTCTAGCCCTCATTTCCCCAGGTAAGAGCAGTTAAAGGAGCACGAACACATCACCTTTGGGGAGAGCAGGGGTCACCCCCAGGCAGCAGTTCTTGGAGGCATGGAGGAAAAGGACCAGACAGAGACTCTACATTTGACTCTTATCCCCGTGTTTCTTGACTGTGTAGGAGCAAAATGTGGTCTCAGTGTACATAGCTTTTTAGTACCAAGTCTCAACATTTTACTGTGTTCACAATTTTTATTCCCTCTAGGAAATGTTTTTGCATTTGACCAAATGAACCCATTTGTTCAGATCTTTTATGATAATGATATTAGCCCTTAAAGAATACGAGCTTTTTCTGCTCTCCCATGAAGGAGTGGGTTGGAGGCAGAGGCCCACCTGCAGGGGCCTCGTTATCAGTCCAGCTACTGCCTCCCGGTTGCTGCAGCAGGGGCCTCAGGCCTGCGAGCAGCCGCCTATCAGCTCTGCACATCCCTCAGACACATACCACACACGCCACCGCACACGTACCCCTGGCCAGGGTTGTCTGTCACACCCGTCCTTTCCATTTCCATGTCCCTGCTCCAGCCGTCACCCACCATCCTCTGCCTCCCCACAGCCTCCCTGCCATACACAAGGAGACCTAACACATCGACCAAGCCCGCATCGGAACAAACCCCCTCTTCCTTACACGCTCCCCTCTCTCAGCGCTAGGAACTCCTGACCAAGTTTCATCCTCCCCGTCACAGCTCAGTGATATGTCACAGCTCAGTGCAGGCTGGCCATGGTGTTGTCTTCCTGAAGCCTCAGTGACCTGCCACGTGTGAATGGGTTCTTTTAGCTCTGTCTGCTACCCCATGACTGAGCTTGACAGGAATCAATGGACAAGAGGGAAATAGGCTGGGACAATGTCAACAGAGACTAGCTAAACTGTGTCCCTACCCCCCCCCAATTGATAGACTGCAGCCCTAACTCTCTCCAGACCTCCAGATACAAATGTTTAGAGACAGGGTCCCCAAAGAGAGGCTGAATTAAGAAGGTCATGGAGGTGAGCCCCAATCCTACTAGACTGGTAACTCACAGAGATTAGGGCAAGATGCACAGAGAGGGGTGACTGTGTAGGCATAGGGAAAACATGGCACTTTCTCACCCCAAGAGCCACAACAATGTCAACTTCTATGGGGCACACCGCCTGGCCTCTGCTGCTCTACAGTACCCTGGTCAGACTAAGCCAGATAACAAGAGAAATAATGGTGATGCCATTGATCACCCAGCTCCAGAACGGCACTTTCTCCAGGCTTCTTTTGCATGTCCTCCATGCCACAGTCACTTTGGCTCATCAATATTCCCAGCATCTCCCCCACCTTGTGGCTGCAAGCTGCCCACACTGGAACCTCAGCTCGCCATTTCCAGACTCCTGCGCTTGTCCCCTCTCCCACAAACCAGGATTTAACCCCTTTACTGCTCTAATCTGACTTCAAGTCACCCTAACTTTTAAATTCCGCAACTGACCTCTCAAACAACACTTTAAAGCCATCTGTCCCTGATGCAGGGGTAGGGTAGGGGTGTTTGTAGGGTTGTGAGGTTTACCAGCATAGTATGGTACCGGGAGAGAGCCTCCCTTTCTTTCTCCTCCCCCACACTGTTGACATTGCTGCCAGGATTGAGCCTTGTGACGTAAATATAATCACATCACGCAGTCACTTCTGACCCTGTGCTGACAACTCCACTCCTGAGTATACACCCAACTTGGGTCATTAAACTTGTTCAAGAATGTGGCTGGCAGCATCACGTTTCATGCACAGCCGAACGCCAGCATGGGCTGTCGGGGGGGGGGGCTGCTGGGCAGCAAGGCTAGACAAGCAGCAGTTGGGCTGGTGTCCCCGCCTGTATTTCACCGTGCAGTACGCACCAGACAGTTTGCACACGACTACGCTATGCGCCAGCAAAACAAAGGCAGCACTCACTTTAGACGGAAGCCAAGCCCCTTTGCCCTTAGTGTAAACTCCAGCTCCCGGCCAAATGGACAGAGGCCCTCACAGCTAGCCAACCAATCACAAATGCACACTCCCACACATCTGCAGACCTCACTCAGCCTCTGCCTGGAGCTCGCTTCTTCCCACAGTATCCAATATGGAAATGGCCACATTGTCCTCCAAGGCCCACTCAAATGGTCCCATCCTGTTCCCTCTCAAGATCCCTGACCTGCAGGAGGAAGGAGCTACCTCTCCTTCACACAGGCTGCTCGCCACCTCCAGCTGCTGCTCAGTCCTGACCGACTGGCAAGCAAGCCTTCTGGAAGCCTACAGCAACTAAAGCATTGCTATGGGGGAGTGAGTTACAAGGGCAGGCTGGGGATGGATGACCTCATGCTGTGCAGTCTGGAAAAGCCCAGTCTATGGGGATTAGCATGGCTGCCTCAGGCAGGGGCAGAGGACATCACGGAAGGAGGTTGCCCAGACCCTCTAGGAACAGACTGAACCCAGCATTCTCTGAGGTGAACAAGCAGAGACCAAGTGTCCTGGAATTACTGACACCCCCTCCATCTTCAGGAAGTTGAACATTGGTACCCAAGGAGACACTGTGTCTCCATCATGGAGGAAATTCTGGGTGCATGTAGGAACGGGAAACACTACCTGAGGCACACATGTGGGTTGAGAATGAAATGTAATTTTGAAGATTAAACAACAACAATAACATTGTGTCTGGGTGGCGCATGGCTAGCACCTCCCCACCACACATACGTGTGAGGCACATGGAGAGGGCCTTCCTGAATTTATCACCCCAACCCTGCCAACACCATGATCTCAGACTTGCAGCTCCCAGAACCATGGCAATTCCTGATGGGTATCCTTCCTCCATGACCGACACTTGTCTAGTTTTCCTGAAGCAACCCTTAAGTTCCACGACACACGTCGGGGTTAACAAATAGTAGAAATCGCTCAACAATACAGTGTCTCTTAAGCCAGGCTCAGGGCTCCTGCAAATGTGGGGAGAGGATGTCTCCCTCAGCAAACAACCTGCCGGATGAAGACTGTCACCCTTGCAGGGGACAGCTGGGGGCATACGGTACTCCCTCACCAGCTCTAAACCTTTCTCCTCCCCCAAGGAGCTACAAGGGGACTCTAGAGGGATGTCTGTCACCCAGACCACAGAGATCAGCAGGCATGCACGGAGGCACCTGCTTCTCACAACTCAGAGATGGGGCGCTCTCATTATTCCTGCTTTACAAAAGGGGAAACTGAGGCAGAGACATTAAAGACTGCCTTGCCAGATAAGGAAATGGAGGCTGCTGTGGGCTCACACAGGCTGCCTTTGAGGGCTTTCAAATGTCATCACTGCGACTCTTAAGATGCTGGAAGCCCAATGTACCTTCTCACCAGCACTGCTGACCCTGGACCCAGCTCAGAGCTGCCACCCACTGGGAGTCCCCTGGCCCCTTCCCTCCACCCATCTGTCCCCTCTCCCTTGAAGCCCAGTACGTACTTGGACAGTGTTCATCACCAAGCCAGCAGTCATCATGCCCAGGCCCGACAACAGTATGGGTATGGCAACCTGGCATGTGGTGGTGAGGACAGACTCAGGGAGGACTCCATGAGGGGAGCGGGTGAGTTCACAGCTGAAGCCTCGAAGCTTCTTGCCCTGAAAGCGGAACTCAAGGCTGAGCTGAGTGACGACCATGGTAGAGCCCCAGTCGCGTCTGTCCTCCCTGCCCACCAAGGCTCTCTCCTGCAGAGGTCCACACAGACAGCAGTCTTCCAGGAAGCACCACGGTGGGTCCCTGACAGCCCCTTGGCTGGGGGCCAGAGCAAACAATGCTAGACCCGCTCAGAGCCTCATTCCGAAGGCCGCCAGCGTCTTCTGTCCATTCCACTGGTCAGGTTCTCCTTCGAGCGCACTGTGTCTCTGCCGGGACCTCCCTCTGCCAGCCTGCCAGACAGGCTCACTATCCCTCAGCGGCGACCTTGACAGTGTCTAATAGTCCAGCCCACGATAGCCAGGCTGGGCAGGGACAGAGCCCACATGGGCCTGGCCCTGGGAAGCACCCACGCAGAGGTTAGCGCCACTCTCAACACACGGCCATGGGCTGCTTTGCTCTGGCCAAGAAAGACCAGAGGCCACAGCTTCAGGGATACTCACCCAGGCCCAGTATGGGGCTCTCTCCTGCAAGGTGAAAGTGACACTTGTAGTCAGCTCTGTGCCAATGTCTGGGAGCTCAGGGCCACAGTGTGAGGCTGTGCTCACAGGAACTGCCATCCTACTTTCCCTCAAAGTCCGGGAAGACCAGTCTAGCTGCTTCTTGGCTTAGGAACAGGTCTGAACAGGTCCTGCTGACCCCCTCCCTCAGCCTAGAGGGGAAGGGGCCCAGCTGGGAAGCAGCATTAGAGCCTGGAGATGCTGAGGTAACCCTTTTATATGTCGTGGGCCAGGAAGAGCACTTCCAGGCCTAAGGGCTGACAGATACGAACTGAGGCCTCCATCAGCAAAGGCCCCAAGTTGAAGGTCTGACTGACCCCCACTAACCCAGGGCCCACCTCTGGGTCACCTCTGTCCCGTTCCTACCGCACCATCGTCTTGGGCACCTTGCCGTCTCCTCTCAGGGATCGTCCATGCCCTGCTCAAGTCCAAACTCCGTTATCTCCTCAGGCAGAACTTCCTCACTAACCGCCCCCTCCCCCAACCCACCGCCCCGGAAACCCGTTCACATCTCCACTGGCTCTCTTCTGCTCGCTTATCTGGTGTCTTAAGCCTGTCACAGGGGCCAGACAGGCAGGCTCGAAACTTTGGTCCTGGTTCTGGCGGGCCACCCCTACATGTCCGAACTGCTTAACCAGCAGCTCATGGTGGAGACAGCACCATTGGGGCTGTTTCTGGGCCCGCCTGTCTCTTGGTCAGACTGCATGGTGAAGCAGAGTGCTGGTAGGTGAAGTACCCCGGGCCAAGATTGGCACAGGGGGCTGCCATGGAGGAGCTTAGACGGAAGATCAGTGACCAGACTGGCGTGAGAGGACCTTCCAGGTTTGGGATGCCGAGCCATAGAGCAGCCTGCAACTGGACCAGAACCTCGTCCATGTTCTAGATTTTCTTCATCCCAGATGCACCAGCTCCCAGCTTCTCCACCAGCCTCAGCTTCTCCACCAGCCTCAGCCTCTCCACCAGCCACAGCCTCTCCACCAGCCTCAGCCTCTCCACCAGCCACAGCCTCTCCACCAGCCTCAGCCTCTCCACCAGCCACAGCCTCTCCACCAGCCACAGCTTCTCCACCAGCCTCAGCATCTCCACCAGCCACAGCTTCTCCACCAGCCTCAGTCTCTCCACCAGCCACAGCTTCTCCACAAGCCTCAGCCTCTCCACCAGCCACAACCTCTCCACCAGCCTCAGCCTCTCCACCAGCTAAGCTTCTCCACCAGCCTCAGCCTCTCCACCAGTTCCCAGCTTCTCCACCAGCCACAGCCTCTCCACCAATTCCCAGCTTCTCCACCAGCCCAGGCTCTCCACCAGTTCCCAGTCTCTTCACTAGCTTCCAGCATCTTCCAAGCTCCCAGACTGTTCATCTCAGCTTCCTTGCAAGAGGAACTACCATTTTTCATGGTGGTTTCTTCCAAAGTGCCTCTGTCAAGCCTTGTACCTCAGTGAACATCTGCCAGAAAGGCAAGCTGAGCCCATACACCCTCATTGCAGCCCTATGTCCAATCTGTTGTCTTCAAAGTCTCCCCCAATCTGTCCCCTCAGCTGCAGCACAGGGAACCATCTCAGTCATGACCCTGTGACCTCTCACCCATCTCCCCCAACAACCAAAACTTGCTTTCCACATCAGCAACCACATGGGCATTCTAAAGGGGTGCCCTCTTACATGAGTGACAGGTAAGCAAGCCTCACTTTCTGACACCGTCTGTTGCAGACGGTTACCCTGTGTACACCCAGAAGGAACTTCTTATCAACCTCTGTCATGCTGTTTTCCTCATACCTTTGGCTGGCCTCAGCAGTGATTGGCTTTGTGGTCAGCAGGGGTGCCTCTTGGTCTCTGATGCCACTAGTTTCCAGTCAAGCCTCATAGCTCCTTACCCAGAGTTTCTAAGTGCAAGCAAGTACTATGATGGCCCTGTGGAAGTATGAACAGGAATACCTAACCATTCTTCCCAAGAAAGGCCCTCTCTGGGCAGCCCTGCTGTGGTTTTGGAGCAAGAAAGTCACTCTTGACCTTACTCTACAAAGCAATTTGTGGCCCCTCAGTGGGCAAAACACCTCACTGTATTCAGAGCGTATGACACCCACCTTGTTCTTTCAAATGAGGAAACAAAGGCTCCACAAGGGTTTGTCTTCAATAGCAAAGTGCACTAACATTCAAGGAAATACCCTTCCCCCATCCCTCCCCACCACAGAGGTGTGGTCTAATGGGAGAGCACATGCCTACCATCCTCCTGGGCAGCCCTCCCGGGAGTCTGTGTCTGCGGTTTGGCAGAGTCTAAACACACAGTGTGAAACAGCAGAGAAAAGAGCTGCAGTCACCACTGGTGTCAGGGCACTGGCTGGACTGGGAAAATCCCTGCAGGTTGGTGCCGTGCTGGCCGCTGCACACTAAGAGAGGAGCCACCTTCAGGTATAGGCGCCAGCATTTTATGCTAGCATTGGCACCTTCCACAAGGTGACTCTAGCTCGGGATCATGCATCTAAACAGAACTCATTGAACCACACACATCGGTTCCCTGAAAGACTCTCATCAGTACAGGAGAGAAAAATGACCATCTCCTGAGTAAGCTCACCAACCTTGGAGAAACACACAGGAGGAGAGAGGGGGGAGGGGAGGGAGAGATTGGGGTCATTAAAACCAAAATGCTGAAGTGGTTACCCTTTGGTGGGCAGGATTACAATGATCCCCTTTGATTTCTGTGTGTGCTGACTATTGTAATCACTTGCTGTTAGGACCATTAAGCTTTCAACAGAAATAAATAAAAGAGCGTACTCGTGAGAAAAAAGTGCTTTCCCAGGAAAGCTGAGAACAACACACATCAACTGGGTCACAACACAGAACATCTCAATGTGATGTTAAAAATAGTCTCAGCACAGTGGAAAATCTCAGAGCCTGGCTGGGCATCGTTCAGATCTGGGTCAAACATCAAGTGGCTTCCTGGGTCACCTTGCACAGTCCTTCCCATCCCTGGGCCTCCAGCCTGCCCTACAGTCCTGGCCAAGAGGTTCTGGGCCCCGGCAGCAGCTCTCAACCTTAATATACAATGGCCACCCCCAGGAGGTAGAGTGTGGTGAGCGTGGCATGTGTGACTCAGGTTCTGTTCCCAACACGGTGGGAGGGAGAGAGCACAGGGCTTCGGCACGCACATCGCCAAGGCTGGCTGAATCTGACACCACAGCTGAACGGTGCACCATCCCAGGAGTAGTTTCCAGATGCTGTGTCTCGGCTACCTTGCACCTGGGCACAATAGGCCAGCTGGCCATGAAAACATCACCACTGCTCAGACCCCAGACAGCCAAGCCCTTCGTTTCCCGATGTCCTTTATTCTCTGGTCTGAGCCAGCAGAACCCAGGGAAGAAGGCAAAGGCCTCCAGTAGCTTCCCATGTGCCCTCTAGATCCAGGCATCCGCACCAGCATCCCCGCCAGGGCCCTGGGCAACCCCTCTCTCCCAGGCTGTTCTGGCATGGTTTTCTGTCTGGCCCTTGCTGCTGTCTGGCACAGACCCATGCATCTGTTGTCTCTCCCCACTCAATCATGAGTGCTGCAGGAGTATGGCCCGTTTGCCTATCCTGTTCACCACAATTCTGTGCATGGTGTCTGGCTTGTGTACATATAGTCTATGTTACCAGACGAATGAATGAATTAACCCGTGAACAAACAAAATGGCAGAAACAATGAGGAAAAGTAACCTAGTCAGGGGGCCCTGGGATGTAACTAAGCTGGAAAATAACCAGCATTACATGTCCATAGCCCTTAATGCTGGCCTCAGCACCACAAGCGAAGCAGAAAGCCCCAGCATTCTTCCACAGAGGGATGACAACGAACTGTCTCCCAGCACTTACTCCAGCCAGAGGGCCTTGAGTGGCCTATCCAGGTGTCTTCTGTGGCTCCTGCTCTTATGGCAAGGTCCCCTGCCAAACGCCCTCCTCAGCAAATGGCACAGGAACACACCTTGCTCAGTAAGGTCCCCAGGGAAATGTTCTCCATAGCAAGCCTTCCAGGCCTTGAGCTTGCCTGTCCCTGAACGATGGCTTCGGTCCTCTAGCCCAAGGGACTTTCCAAGAAAGCTCTTTTGCCCTCCTGCAGGAAGTGGCACTCACTCTTCCGGTCCACGCAGCAGGGCCTGCCTCCTCATCCTAGATGGGTCTGCATGTGTGGGGTGGCAGCAGGCTGTGGCTGTGCAAGACTAAGAAAGAAATCTGTGGCCCTCAACTGCCCAGCTCTGGTCATTATCCTAGAGTGGGACTCGTCCCTTACCAGTGGGGCAGGAGGGGCCGGCTGGCCAGCCCCACGCAGGAAGGATCCCAGTATGAGGCAGGGCCCCCGTCCAGCTCTTATGTGGTGCTCATTGCTAACTGCAGCCAGCTGGAATGGAGCCTGCTGCACAGACAACCCGCCCTCCCTGCTCTCTTCGTATAGAGCCTCCGCCTCGCCCCAGAGCTGTTCTCCGCCACAATGAGAACTACCCTGACTGGCCCTGCTCCGGGTAGGGCACCTAGGTCGGCTGGCACTCCTTGGTACTCCTACTGCCTGGCTGGACTTATGAACTGCTTGATAAACAGGGCCTCAGGGACATGCTCTCCACCCCCAGTTCAGGGAGTACCACCCAACAACAGCTTCAAGTCAGACCTCTGAAGAGCGAGGCTTGTTTTCCAGCCTTAGGAAGGATGAGGACTTGGCTGCTTCACCTTGGAGCAGTCCGACTCTGCCTGTTTCCAAAGCCGGCAAGAGTGAAAGGGCTCAGGATGGGTGACCATGGC